GTTGACCTCAATGATTTTAAAGATCCTTTCCAAAATAAATGATTCTATGTTTCTGTAGTTTTTCTTTTGATCTATTTTCTGTCATGTCATTTCTCTACTTTATTTACGTATTTTCTTTGTCTAGTCCTTTTCTCCCTTTTGTAAAATCTTCCTTTAAGAATACTGTCCTGTTAACAGCTTTAGGGAAGACTACTTTTCTCTGAGGTTTATGTTAGTCAACCTTTATCTGTATCTGAAGCTGCAAAGGCTGAATCAAAGCTATTTGTGAAGCTTAAGCCTTGCCAACTATTTCCTTGGCTTCGCTGAGAAGTATATATCGCTTTTGGCATAGCCTATCAGCTTTGAAGCCAATCACCTGCAGAGCTATTCATTAGCTTACAGTGTAAAAACACTGGTAGCACTGGGTAGGAGGCAGCTGAATGCTGAAGAGGAATCAGAGGCAAAATGATTACAACCTTTTGAGGGTGAGAGAACACTAGGTGCTTCATGGAAAAGAAGTGGAACGAGTGCACATGAAAATGTAAAGGATAAATACARTGTGATACTAGATACTGATGACCTAAAATTATAAAAGTTGGCTGTTGGTGTAGATCTGAAGTTCCTGAAGGAACTGCTTGTCTAGGCAAACAATCTCCTGTTTTCATGTGGTCTTTATCTCTGTTGGAATAYTTCTGCAGTTTTTATGTATATAGACTGCTTGCATACCCTTCCTGTTATGGTCTCTGAGGTGTGGATATACAATTCTAAGGGTTTCTTGCCACTAGGTAAAATATGCAGAACTGCTGGTAAAAGTCAGCATGTGGCGACTTAGACAACTACCTCAAAACAGCAAGTTACAAGAAACTATGGTCACAGTTTTGGATTTTTGCTAACTTTTGATTCTCCACAAAAATGTGAAGAATTTGAGAAAATACTTGAATTATGAGTTTTGTGCTACTGTGGTGACCCCAGTACTCCTTGGTAGCTCCTAATAATGGATGAGTATTCCAGGAAGGTTTAGAGATTGTCTAAGAAAGGATGAAGAAAGCTGCCTGTAGGTGAATCTCAGATTTAATGAAGTATAGTCTAAACCATTCTGTAAAAGAAGTGTTATATTAATACATCTTGAGAAAGACTTTCATTCACAAGGGATGACAGGCAGGGAAGGAGCTTCTTAATAACTTTTAGTTACATCAGTTAGCAACATCTACCCTGTATTTCCTAATATTTCAGTGGGCTTGGAGAAGACATTTGGCCAATTTGGTAATTTTGGTAAATTGAAAGAAATCTTGGCAGTCTGGAAATAATGTGTACTTTTAAAACAGGGCACATTTATTTAGCATTTTTTTGTTTGGTCAGAAGAAAGACTGTTTCTTCCAGCAACAAGCATATGAAGTTGTCTGGAAAATTTCTAAACTGTAATTCATCTCAGGATATTTATTTCAGCTAGCTTTTCACTGCATAAAAACTTTGATTTCTTTTAGAAATAATATTTAAGCTGGATAGGCATGATTTTTTTTTCCTAAAATTGTATAATCTCTGCTTATTTCAAAGCAACCAAAATGAAATTTTCTGGGATAAGACAGATCTGTAGTGCAGTTTTAATTATAAATCATAATAAATTGACTTTATTATGAATTTGTTGTACTTTTTAAAATGGCATCCAAAATTGTAAGTATCAAAAATCTTAAACTAATAGTTTAGATTAATATTTTTTTTTTCAGAAATTGGATAAAATTCTGTATCTAAGACTATTTCACAGTAGTAGTGTTGAACAGACAACTCCACCTCCAATCAGGTTAACAGACACGTTGTAAGTAGTTCTGTATCAGAGAAACCTTCCTTTGACAGGCAGACATTACAAGGTGCTTTCTGATGGTAAATCTTTGCACCTTGTCACAAGGGCTAATGATGGACACAACTCACAGTTTCTTGTCTAGATCTTTTCATTTTGTAGGAAACCATGTCTAAAGCCCTCATAGACCTTTTTCAGCCTTTTGGATTCAATTTCCTTTTGAGTTTTGTTTTTCAATGAATCTATGAAAGAATCCAAATTCTGATATTATTTTCTGGAAAAGGAAATGATTTTGTAGAGTTTTCACCATTTCTTTATTCTTTCCTCTAGCTTAATTTTACCTTTCAGACTTTTCTATGCATCACTACTCTTTATGCAGCAATTTCTTGATATTACTTATACTGTTTCGCATTAAAAATCTCTGTATTTTTTTTTCCTGCAGAAGTTTTATTAGTTTTAGTTTTTTTCAGAATGAAAATGGGCAAAGAGAAGTATTTGAAGGGATATCTTTTTCCATGAGCAACTTACTTCTATAAATGTACCTTCACTGCAAGTGTTCATGAGAAGAATATATTTYGTATTATTGTTTAATAAATACAATCTTCTATCAGATATTGGTTTTATGTTTCATGCTTCTTAACCGGTTTTTTAATTATGTAGATGATAACAGAGCGGTTTAAACTCCATACACCTGATTGATTTTATATCATTTGCATACTTCTTAATATTTAATTGATCTTTAATTAAAAGAAGTTGTCCAGATAATTCTGCCCCTTCAGAAAACCCCTCTCCAGTCTGAGCAACAATTCTATTTTGACTTTAAAACATATGATTCAGTGCTTTCCTTAAAGTTATTCTAGTTTCATAGTTGGGCTCTTTGAATCACACAAAATTACTGAAACACAGCATCCTCCTTTGAAAATAGAGGTACAGTGCTAAGTCATCAAGAAAAGGAAGACTAGGGAAAATGTGTGTCCTTTCCCAAAGGAAACTGGAGACTTGGTTTCCTGGACATAGAGAAGGCAGAGACACTCAACAACTTTTTTTTCCCCTCAGTCTTAATTGCAAAGAACTCCACCCACACCAGCTGCACTGTCCATCATATTTGAAAAATTGTGGCAATTTAGAGAGGTGCCCACCAACTGGAAAAGGGGAAACATTCCATCAATATGAGCTTTTCCTCATCTTGAGGGGTTGAGAAACATTCTGTTTAGAAACTTCATGGCTTTCACACTGCTACTCTGATACTGTCWGAAGGAGATTATTCAGGGGAAAAAATCAATCCTTGAAGAGCACAGCAAATCTGTGCCAGCCATGAGCCTCTCTCTGCAGTAATTGCTACAAGGAACAATTCTGCAGTTCATGCTGTCCTTTTTGTTGKTGTTCTTTGATTGGATTTGGGTTTGTTTTGTTTTGGAGAATCCCTTTAAAATACAGTACACAATGACAAATGATCCATGATTTATTCATGTAACTCTCAAAGATGAGGTAGGAGGACTTTTAACAGAGTGGGAGCCCACACAGGAGTGTMGATATGGATATGAGTAGCCTGCTCCTCCAGGGACCATTTGTCATAAGCTGGGTAACAATAGAGCATGGTTCCAATCCAGGACATACGTACACATGGCAAGGAAAGCTACAGGCACTGACTGTTACTGTAAAAGCCCCTGGACAGGTGAGGAGGAGATCGTGCAGGCAAGCTCATCATGAGGTGTAATAAATACACATTTTGCAGAGTATCCCAACAGGGACAATTTAGGTGAAAGCCAAAYCTGTTTGCCGAAAGACAAACCATGRCAGCATGAGRGTCCAGGGCTGCCCCAGGGAATTGGCCAGAAGTAATAGAACAAGCTTTTGGACTTTGCCACRGTCACAGAAGAGTGAAAGTCTCATGGAACATGATCTCTAGTGTTTCTCCATGAAGTGAAAAAACATAGCAACATAGCTCCTGGAGCTGACAGTGACTTACAATGTGGGATTTTTTTTT